AAAGTCAGAATTATTAGCCCCACTGTATTATTAGAGCTGTATTTTCCCCCCAATTTCTGCTTAACAGAGAGAAGATTTCACATTTCTAATAATATTAGATTTAATAACTCATTTCTAATAACTGTTTAATTTTGTCTTTGGCATGATGACAGTAAATAATGTTTTACCAGATATTTTTCAAGACACTGCACAGCTTAAAGTGACATTTAAAGGCTTAACTAGGTTAATTAGGTTAACTAGGCAGGTTAGGGTAATTAGGCAAGTTATTGTATAATGATTGTTTGTTCTGTAGACAATAAAAAAAAATTTAGCTTAAAGGGGCTAATAATTTTGTCCCAAAAATGGTGTTAAAAAATTAATAACTGCTTTTATTCTAGCAGAAATAAAACAAATAAGACTTTCTCCAGAAGAAAAAATATTATCAGACATAGCACAAGTACACTATGTTTGGTTTAAAGATTAACAAAGAAGAAGCATTAGGAGTCCCTGCAGTTTTCAGTCCAAATAAATGTAGACAATTCCTTTTTGAAAATTAACATATTAAAACAGAGATTTTATCATTTTACAGTCATAATATAAAATAAAAAATGATCTTTTTCTTAAATACTGTTTTATTTTACAGTGAAAATAAAATATAAATGTATGTTTATCAAAAATGTAACTGTAGGTTATTCAAAATGTAACTGTATGTAAGATGGCATTTTGAGGTTTTCTTTTGTGTTCTCAGGTACCACAGAGAAGATCTTTGAGGAAAAGAAGGAGCTGTATGATGTGTACATTGACAATCAGAACGTGAAGACGCACAGAGAGAGTCTCCAGCCTCTGCTTCGACTCAACAGTGCAGACAGAGAGAAGTATCGCAAGCTCTGTGAGCAAAGGTACCAACATCTGAACCTCTTATGAGAAAGAAAAAACAATAAAAGTATGTATTTCCACAGGCATATGATCATATCAATGGGTTTCAGGCAGTTGCTGCTGTACTCTCAGGAGGTGGATGGAGATTGCACATCCAATGAGGAAGACCTTTTCATTCTGTGAGTGATGAATTAGGATCCTAAATGTAAATGTAAATGTACACACCTGAGCACAGATTATTATAACAGCAGGGAAGTGAAGTGAGCACCTATTAGCACCCTGTGACATTTTCCATACTATTTTCTATATTCTTCCTTGTCATTTGTTTGATATTTGTGAAATCCAAACTAGATTATCTTTAGTTTAGACAAAACGTTAATCAATAACAAATAATATGAATAAAACAAAGAGCTTACCAAAATGGTTGTAGGGTGGGGCTTAGAAATGCTGCTTTAGAGTTTTCAGACCCAACTTGATGGACAAACCAATGACTGCATTTCAGCATAATGTCATCTTCTAGTGGTCATTTCATATTTTGTAGTACAGTGGTCCCTTGTTTATTTGGGGAGTTGCATTTTAAAAATAACTTGTGATAGGCAAAATCCCGAAGTAGATCGCTTTATTTTTCACAAATATTATAGAGGTTTTAAGGCTGTAAAACCCCTCACTACACATTATCCAATTTCAGATAGGCATTAACATTTTCACACTTCTCTTATTTAAACACTCAAAGTTCAAATTTGCGTAGAAAAATAAGTCCAGTATTCAGGGCTTGACTTTTATGATCACCAGCCACTGTGGCTAGTAGTTTTTCCAACATTACTAGGCACTCGCCATTTTCACTAGCCACAATTTTGTTGTTGGGAAAATATGTTTTATATGCATAAATTTGACTTTGGCAGGCTAAAATGACATGATTTAAGTTTTTTGTTTAGATATTTTTTATTGATTTTCAGTTTTTTAAATGGGAAAGAGCAACAATACAAACCCCAAACCCATACCAATCCAACAGCGGGATAGTGCTCACATTAGCCAAAAATTTACAAATATACAATTGTACATGTAGGTTTAAATACAAACAAATAATAATAATAACAATAAATAAAAATAAAAACAAATAAAATAAAATAAATTGAATAAATACATTTTACAAACATGTAACCATACATACCATATGTACAGCTAATGATTTAAGGTTTTTGTTGTTGTTTTTTTCAGTTGAATAAAATACTTCTTAAAAATAGGTTAAAAATCATTCTCGTGAACACAATCTCGTGTCTCTTCACACCCTAAATAAGTAAGTATTTTCACTCCAGGTTCTTCATGGAGCAGAACAACCGAATCTTCCAGACCCTGTCTGAGGTGGCGGTGAGTGCCGATCCTACCCTGACTGCTGAGCACGTGCGAGCCATGGGGCTGGATCCTCAAGGCGATCGCGGCTTCCTTGTGGACCTGCTGGAAATCTACGGCATCGACGTCATGCTGGTTATCGACAACCCCTGCTGCCCGTAAGACCCTCCGTCTCTGCCCCTCTCTCTGGAGTCCTGTTTTCTGTTCGGGCTTAAATTCACATCCTACTGATCACCTGCTTGTCTTTTCTTTCTTTTCTCTGGCTTGGCTTTCTCAGGAGCCACTCCTGACCCCTCTGGACCACACTGATACTGCCAACACCAACAACCCAAGTCCGTCTACAGGCTTTTTCGCGCAGCCAGTGGCGTCTTTCTGCTTCTCTGTCTATCTGTGTGCTTTGTATTCTACCAGCCATCTTGGATTTCTTCTCAACTCTGCCTAAGCTTGTTTCCAAACATGATCTCTGTGCCTCTTTATTCCTGCTTTTTCAATCTGTGGTCTTCAGTTGTGACTTTGTTTTTCTAGCCAGTGCTGTTTGGGGGAACTGATGTGATGTCCCCTATGGATATAAATCTGCTTGGACACCAGAGAATTGGAATAACGGTCCATCATTTCCTGGATCTACATGTTTTTTTTGTTTGTTTGCTGGGAACAACGGTTTAACGTCTGCTCTGAATGTCATATATTATGTATTTCTAAAAAGTTTGATGGTTGTTCATATTACACACTACTGTAACGGTGAGGATTTTCACAGTCTTCGCCACAACAATTCAATCATGTACATGTGAGAAGTCATTTCATTTGGGGAAGAACCTGGGCAAAGTCAAAAGTCAGTGTGTTATTTGTGATCTATTGTGCATGGACTAATAGACACAAGTTTGGCTGCTGTAGTTTGACACGACATTTATTAATGTTCATGAATGGGAATGAACCACACTGTAGGAGGGTTTCAGTCATCCTTGTTTAACTCTTCAAATGTTAACTAATGAATGTGATTGACCTTTCAATGCTGTCTACACCTGTTCGAGATGTTTCTGTTATATTACACACACACACACACACACACACACTGAACAGGTATCACTGTACTAAAAACAAATTAAATGGAGCATAGAATGTGCATTTGTTTATCCCGGATAGGCCTATAATCACTGTCATCATTGGTATTGAATGTAAATTGTACATTTAATGCTCCGGTTGATGCACACAGACGCTGCATTCATCTTTCTGAAGAAATGAATGTGATTTCTGACTTTCTAATCGGTCAATGCTCATGGTTATTATATGTTGTGTATATATTTGGGTTTGTCATTTAAATGTGTTTGAGTTGATCATTGCTGGATGACAGCAGAAAGACTGAGCTGATTGACAGTGGTTGTGTTTATATGTTCATTCTATAAAGCCTAACTGGATGTTTAATAATTCATTGAGCTGCATTAATAGAATAGAATATCTAAATGGAAAAGGATTTACCCATTCATTTTACTGTCAGTTTCACTGTCCATCTAATTTTCAACATGCCAACAAATGTGACATTCGACTTTTGGAATTGAGTGCAGGCACTCAGGCTTGATGGAGAAAAGTTATTTAAATCACCTTAAATAAAATATTTAAATGAATAATAAATAATACTATTGCTTACAAACTAGATTTGATTAAATGTGAGTTTCGTTTTTACATTTCTAATAAATCAGAGAGAATTCTTCTGTATTATTATTATTCAGACCATCCTCTTGTAGGATGTGGTTTGGTTATGTTAAGAGTCTGATTGTGATTGAATGAAGAATGTATATGAAGCAGCCGTGTAACATAACTGTACAGGATGAATTGTCTGGTTTTGTGTATGTGTGATTTTCTTTTTTTGCTTTTTGTCAGTTATCGAAGTGTTACACAAGTCTTTGTCACAATAACAAGCTAAATGAATGTTGAGTTTTACTCTAATGGTATCACAAAGCACTAGTGTAATCCACACTACCTATACAGTAATACAAACTAACAGCATGTGTCTGTTGTTTTAAAGCCAGTGATTCCTCTTCACTGCCATTTTGAATAAATGGTTCCTTTTCTACCATATGCTTTGTGGTGTAGTTCTGAGATAACAACACTCGCTTAAAGAAAAATCTTTTAGTGTTTGTGAAATCAAAAATTACAGTTTAGTTTGCTAGCACACATTGTTATTCTTTAGGTGAAAAAAAATCTGCGTGTTAATCCACTGGAAAAAAAGAATAGTTGGCTACACTCTTATCGTTAGTTTGCCATGAGCGAATGATGAAAATAAAGCCCCGCCCCCTTCTCAATAATCTCTTTCATTTGGAAGTACATCAAGCTGCTTTGAAACAATCTACATTGTAAAAGCGCTATACAAATAAAGGTGAATTGAATACATCAGTATACTGGAATGATGCTGCAGTTAGAGTACTAGAGTTTGTGCGTGCGAAATCTGTCGGACGGCGCTGCAAAAATGAGCTGGATTAAACAAGAAAAAAAGCGAGCAATTGGTCCATGTTTAAAATTTCCGTACAGAGGTCATGTTTTGATCTTCGATTGGTCTCACGCAATCATGTAATGCAATTTCGCAGGTCAGAGTTCACCAAGCTTGAACTTTCCAATGCAGCAAACTGCAAAACTTGCCGCACGACCTTGTGTTTTCAGTCTGACGCATTCGCGTGCGTATGAATGGAAGTCTATGGGCAGAAAAGTGCAGTGTGACCGCGGCTTTAGTCTCAGCAACTTCCGGTTCACACTGACTGTAAAGATTCTTTCAAGGGAAGCCTTTAAATGAAATAAGCAAAATAAAAGCATGATAATGACTTTTATTATTGGTCCTCATCTGGTCAAACTTTTACAGCATAACTAGTTTGAGTTTCTTAAAGGGGCAGTTCACCCAAAAACAAATATTCTGACATCATTTTCTCAGCCAAATCTGAGTTTCTCTCTTTTTTGTTAACACACAAGAAATGACTACCAGCTTCCAACATTCTTTGAAGTATCTTCTTTTGTGTCCAACAGAAAAAGTAACACTTTTAACCCACTTGAAAGTAAGTAAATTGTCAGTATATTTTCCTTTTTTTTAGTGAGAAATCTCTTCTAAAGGCATTTTTGCACTCTTCAAGGTAATATTAAGCTCTTTGAGGAAAACATTCACTTAAAGTAAACCAGAGTTTGTAAGAAAAGTTCAAAACAGGAAAACAAACTGTTCCATACTAAGTTGACACCATTTATAACATGTTTATATAAACGCATTCAACTACCTTTCCAAACTAAAATTTATTTCATTATATGTCTCATATCTCTTCATGTCATTCCAAAGACTTTTGTTTAACTTTAAACATTTTACATTTTTTATTTCACCCAAAATAAATACAGTTATTTTATTCACATGTAGGCATCAGTAAAAAAAGAAGCTAAACGTGTTGGTGTGAAGAATGAATCTCAGTGGTTCTCATATGTCAAGCAAGCATCACTGAGCTTCTGTGATCAAATTTAAATGTTTTAAAGATGTTTGTTTATAGCTCGATGCTTGTTTTAATAAAACCCTAAATTTAAGGGTAATCTAATAAAGTGATCATGTCTCTTTAGCGCACATTAGATTTTATTTTAAAACTTGGAATCTCTCTGGCCATAATCAAATATGTTCAAGTTTTGGGTGAACAGACTCGATGCTGAAACAAATATCTTCATTTTTGAAGATAACTACATTTCTTATATGTTTGGAACAACATGAGTGTGAGTAAATGATGACAGAACTCATTACGTGTAAACTCATTTTTTCAAGTTCATAGTACACAAGTTGTCAAGTTACGCTATGAAGACGACTTCTTTTTTTGGGGTAGCTGATATGTTTTTTCCCTCTTGTACTTTTGGAAAATGAATCCACATTTTTATGTCATCACTGAGCTTCTGCAAGTTGCTCTCTGCGCTCTGCACTGCAAAAGAATCTCAGTTTTCTTGGCAGCAGTCGCACTTCGACAGACATTGCCTCATATTCCTGATTGTCAATGTCGTAAAAGCCAGCACCCTCCTGTGGATGGGAGAGGAAATGCAATAGATATAAAAAAATACAGATTAAACTGATGCATTATTACACAAAAATCAATAAAAATATATTAAATAAACACACTTACCTCTGGGAGTTCAAGACGTGCAGCACTGGCTTCTATCTGTACAGCATTTTCTATGGGCTCCATGGGATCCACTGATTTATTAGTCCTGTATGACATGAATCAATATTAATCATCCACAATATTAATTAAATATCCACAAATCTATTCTTTAGATAGAGAGCTCTCTACTAATTAAAAAAGTGCCAAATTATGAGGGATGCACAGTATATTCACCATCCACATTATTAGGTACGCCTTACTAGTACCAGGTTGAACCCCTTTTTGCCTTCAGAACTGCCTCAATCCTTTGTGATATCGGAAATTTGGGTCCATATTGACTTGATACCATCACGCAGTTGCTGCAGATTTGTCGGCTGCACATCCATGATGTCAACCACCAGTCCACATCCCAAAGGTTCTCTATTGGGTTGAGTTCTGGTGACTGTGGATGCCATTTGAGTACAGTGAGATAATTGTCATGTTCAATAAACCAGTCTGAGATGATATATGCTTTATGACATGGCACATTATCCTGCTGGAAGTAGCCATAAGAAGATGAGTACACTGTAATCATAAAGGGACGGACATGGTCAGCAACAATACTCAGGTAGGCTTTGGTGTTGACATGATGCTTAATTGGCACCAATGGGCCCAAAGTGGGCCACGGAAATATCCCCCACACCATTACACCAACACCAGCCTGAACTGTTGATATAAGGCAGGATGAATCCTGGCTTTCATGTTGTTGATGCCAAATTCTGACCCCACCATCTGAATGTCACAGCAGAAACCTGGCAACGTTTATCCAATCTTCTATTGTATAATTTTGGTGAGCCTGTGTAAATTGTATCCTCAGTTTCATGTTCTTAGCTGACAGGAGTGGCACACGGTGTTATCTTCTGCTGCTGTAGCCCACTCGCATCAAGGTTGGATGCGTTGTGTGTTCAGAGATGCTCTTCTGCATACTTCGATTGTAACGAGTGGTTATTTAAGTTACTGTTGCCTCTCTATCAGCTTGAATTAGTCTGGCCATTCTCCTCTGACCTCTGGCATCAACAAGGCATTTGCACCCACAGAACTGCCTCTCACTAAATAAATTATTTTTTTAGACCATTTTCTCTAAACCCTAGAGATGGTTGTGAGTGAAAATCCCAGTAGATCAGCCGTTTCTGAAATACTCAGACCAGCCCGTCTGGCACTAACAACCATGCCACGTTCAAAGTCATTTAAATCACCTTTCTTCCTCATTCTGATGCTCACTTTAAACTTCAGCAAATCCTCTTGACCATGTCTACATGCCTAAATGCATTGAGTTGCTGCCATATAATTGGCTGATTAGAAATTTGCGTTAACGAGCAGTTGTACAGGTGTTGAACAGGTGTACCTAATAAAGTGGGTGTATATCAGCTGCCGTATTAGTATTATGAGATAAATGCTTATTTTTATTGTAAACTTATTTCCACAGGTTAATCTGCTTTAAATGCATACACCTGATGTGAGATGTTGAACTGCAGTCAGACACCTTGCAAGGTTTTTCAGCATCTAAACAAATCTGATGTCCACTGTTTGCCCTTTGTTTTCTTAATCAGGTTCAGAAAATTTAAGGTCAAACTTTTGATTTATTGGCCTATATATATATCGGTTATTTGGTCTTCCAAATATAAAAGTATCGGCCATAATTTCAATAAATAAGTTAAACGGCCATGTTTTTTTTAAAGAAAATGTAACAATAACTATAACATTCTAACTTAAAAGAAAAAATGTATAATCATTATATTCTACTGAAAAATTGTTTTCTTTTATAGTACTTCATCAATTTGTAAATTTCAAACACAATAAATACTATGCCTATTTTTAATGTTTGACAGTAGCACTTACAAGACCAAACTTTAGTTTTGTTCACATTTTAAGGTTAACATAGAGTAGGGGTCTAAACTCTTTCCTGGAGGGCCGGTGCCCTGCATAGTTTAGCTCAAACTTCATTTAACACACCTTCCTGGAAGTTTTTGTATATCTATAAAGAGATGATTAGCTGGTTCAGGTGTGTTTAATTGGGGTTGGAACTAAAATATGCAGGACACAGGCGTTCCAGGACCGAGTTTGGGCAGCCCAGATATATAGACGGACACGTTTATACATATTGTTCTAAAATCTTCAAAGCTATATCATGCATATTAATGAAGTTGCATCTCATACACAATAAAGTGCGCTGATTGGTTTAAACCAAGTCTTTCTCATGAATAATGCTGAAAACTCAATGATGTCACGTTGTACCCACCGGCACAGACATTCAGTCTACATGCTGAAATTTACACAGTGATCTCATCGCCTCATTTTTAGTGAAATATACATGTCCTAATTGTCACCGACTCGGTCCCAGTCATTCCCCTCGCTGACCAGCAGAGGTCACCATCTCCGGACTTCTAACCATTACGTCATCCATTTCACCCTGATCCCAGCACACCTGTTCCCCATTCCACTAATGACCCACGTACCATATATAAGCAGCTCACACACACACTTCAGTGCGAAGTCTTGTTTAGCCCCGGCCAGCATTTCTGAGCGTTCTATCCTGCCTGATCTCCCGTTTACCACTTCAGCCCGTTTCTCGACTCTGCTCTGTCTTCTGCCTGCCCTCGACCAAAGCCTGTTACACGGACTCTGATTCTCGCTGCCTGCCCCTGACCAAAGCCTGTTACACGGACTCTGAATCACGCTGCCTGCCTATGACACAAGCCTGGTAATCACTCTGCCTCTGATATCTGCTATCATCGTTGATGTGTATGTTGTATGTTCGCACAGCCGTGCGAGTTGTTGATGTTTAAGTGTGACTTAATAAATACTGCAAAATGGATCCCTCCGTGTCAGTCTCCCCGTTACAGAAGACTTCGCCCAACACGGATCCCGCAGCCATCCAGGTTTTGTCTCACGAAGTCACAACACAAGCTCAGGTATTGTCAACACACCAACAACAACTAACACATCTAACTCAGTTAACAGACGAACTGGTGAAATCCCTCCAAAATCTACAAGCTGCTGCCACTGCGCAACCCACCGCCAACTACTCTCCAAGTCCACTTGTTGTTGCACAACCCCCGATGACTTCCGGAGTTCGATTGGCTTTTCCTGACAAGTTCTCAGGTAACCCAGCAAAATGTAAAGGCTTCCTACTGCAATGTAAACTGTTTATCGCCCAACAGCCCCATCTGTTTAAGGACGAGAATGGGAAAATTGCTTTTGTGTGCTCTCTGCTCACTGGGAAAGCGCTAGACTGAGCTACTGCAGTTTGGCCAGACAGTACCCCGATATTTCCCTCGTTTAATGACTTTCTCAAACGTTTCTGCACTGTGTTCGATCATCCGGAGGGTGGTCGTAATGCTGGCGAGGAGCTATTGTGCATCCAACAGGGAGATCGCTCCACAGCTGAGTTCGCCCTGCAGTTCCGCACCTTGGCAGCGCAAACTGGCTGGGCTGATGATCCGCTTGCCACGCTCTACAGAAAGGCTCTAAGACCAGAATTGCAGCGAGAGATGGCATGTTGTGACGAGGGAAAAACACTGGATCAACTAATCGAGCTTTCCATAAGGTTAGACACTCTCCTCCGCACTCGCAATCCGCTATGCTCAATTGCTTCCAGTCCTGTATCCCCTGAAACCTCCGCTGAACCCATGCAACTGGGTAGAACCCGCCTGAACCCAGAGGAGCGAGAACGACGGAGAAGAAATCACCTGTGCATTTATTGCGGACTTCCAGGCCATACGAAGGTTTTATGTCCCAACAAGCCTCTCCCTAAAACCCTCTCGGTGAGTGCAACCACTATGTTCACTACCACTAATAATGTTGTGAATTTGCCTGTCCCTCTGAGAAGCAATGGAGATGAGATTGAGACTATGGCCATGATCGATTCAGGAGCCGCTGGCAACTTTATTGATTACACGTTTGCCACCACTCACTCTATTCCTTTAACCTCCTGTGATTCCTCCATAGCCATCACTGCTGTAGACGGGCGCCCTTTGGGAGAAGGCCGTATAAAATTCCAGACTCAACCAATCTCTCTTCAAACAGGCTCTCTCCATGAAGAGGAGATTTCCCTCCTTGCCATCAACTCCCCCACACACTCTGTAATTCTTGGGCTACCATGGCTACAACAGCATGACCCTCAAGTCTCTTGGAGAACTGGTGAGATCACAAAATGGAGCAATCAAGGCTTTACTCAATGTCTGCATTCTGTTTCCCCTGTTCAGATCAACACAATTAACAAGACCGAAGACTCTGAACTCTGTCATATTCCTGATGCTTATCATGATTTAATTGAGGCATTTAATAAACAGAAGGCTACCAAGCTCCCTCCACATCGTGAAAATGACTGTGCCATTGAACTGCTACCCGGCACCACGCCCCCTCGTGGTCGCATTTTCCCCCTCTCTCAACCTGAAACTGAAGCTATGAAGAGTTACATCTCTGAGGAGCTAGAAAAGGGCTTCATTCGACCATCTACTTCACCCGCTTCAGCAGGCTTTTTCTTCGTCAAGAAGAAGGATGGCAGCTTGCGCCCATGCATTGATTACCGAGGCTTAAATGAGATCACAGTTAAATACCGCTACCCATTGCCATTGGTTCCAGCCGCCCTTGAGCAACTCCGATCCGCCCAGTATTTCACTAAGTTGGACCTTCGTAGTGCATATAACCTCATCCGCATACGACAGGGAGACGAGTGGAAAACCGGGTTCTCTACAATCGACGGCCACTATGAATACCTCGTTATGCCCTTCGGCCTAGCAAACAGTCCTTCCGTGTTCCAGGCATTTGTAAATGAGGTATTTAGAGACATGCTCAACAAGTGGGTCATAGTGTATATTGACGACATCCTGGTCTACTCCAATTCGCTATCTGAGCATATCCAGCACGTCCGGGCAGTGCTCAAATGCCTCATTCAAAACCAGCTGTATGCAAAGAGCTCCAAGTGCGAATTCCATCAGACCTGCATCTCATTCCTTGGTTACATCATTAGTCCAGAAGGCGTGGCCATGGACCAGCAAAAGGTCGACTCCGTGACACAATGGCCACAACCCGAAACCATCAGACAACTACAACGATTTCTGGGCTTTGCTAACTTCTACAGGCGATTCATAAGAAACTTCAGTTCCGTCGCTGCTCCCCTGACCGCCATGGTAAAAGCCAACAACGCTCGCCTTAAATGGAACCCAGACGCTGTCCGAGCATTTACTCAGCTCAAAACTCGCTTCTCCAGTGCACCCATTCTGCGTCATCCTGATCCCGAGCAACCCTTTGTAGTTGAAATTGAAGCATCCAACACTGGAATTGGAGCCATCCTGTCTCAAAGATCCCTAGTCACTAAGAAGCTCCATCCCTGTGCCTTCTATTCTCGCAAGCTCAACTCCGCTGAACGGAACTACGATGTGGGAAACCGAGAACTCCTCGCCATGAAAGCCGCGCTAGAGGAATGGAGACACTGGCTTGAAGGCGCAAAACATCCTTTCACCGTCATCACCGATCACAAAAACCTGGAATATATCCGCTCCTGTAAACGTCTGAACCCTAGACAGGCAAGATGGGCGCTGTTTTTCACCCGATTTGACTTCCAAGTCACCTATATTCCTGGCTCAAAAAACATCAAAGCAGATGCTCTGTCCCGCCTCTCAGACGATGAAACCTCTGAATACCATGATGAACCCATAATCAAAGATCCTCTAATTGTCGCTCCTATCCAGTGGGATATAGAACAGGAGATCCTTCAAGCCGCCGAAACCAATCCATCTCCACAGCCCTGTCCAGAGAATAAGATCTTCGTTCCCCCGTCACTTCGAGAAAGGCTCATCTCCGAGGTACATGACCACCCCAGTTCCGGTCACCCAGGCAGCACAGCCACCGTACAACTGATTCAATCCCGCTATTGGTGGTCATCCATACACAAAGATGTCATTAACTTCATCAATAACTGCTCACCCTGTCAGATGTCTAAACACTCCCGTCACCGTCCAGCTGGATTACTCCAACCCCTGGACGTGCCACATCGTCCCTGGTCACACATCGCAATAGATTTCATTACCGATTTACCCATATCTCAGGGCAAAACCACCATCCTCACAGTAGTGGATCGATTTTCAAAATCCTGCCGCCTTATTCCCATCTCCAAACTGCCTACAGCCATGGAAACGGCCGAGTTACTCTGCGAGTGTGTGTTCCGGTACTATGGTCTCCCCGAAGACATCGTGTCGGATAGAGGTCCCCAGTTTACATCCCGACTCTGGTCAGCATTCTTTAAAAACCTCCAAATCAATGTTAGCCTTACATCCGGCTATCATCCCCAATCCAACGGGCAGACAGAGCGCTTGAACCAGGAAATCGGCAGGTTCCTCCGCACGTACTGTCATTCGAACCAGAATGAATGGGCTAAATTTCTGATGTGGGCAGAATATGCTCAGAACTCCCTCAGAAAGGCATCTACTGGATTAACCCCATTTCAATGCGTGCTGGGCTTCCAACCTCCTCTCTTTCCCTGGTCCGGCGAGACCTCTGAACTCCCTGCGGTGGATACCTGGTTTAAAAGCTGCGAAGAGGTCTGGAACGCAGCTCACACTCACCTCTCTCACGCCGTACGGCGTTTCAAGGAACAAGCCGATCGACACCGACGTTCTGGTCCCATGTATTCCCCAGGACAATGGGTATGGCTTTCCACCCGTGACTTACGCCTCAAGCTGCCCTGCAAGAAGCTCAGCCCCAGGTACGTGGGTCCTTTCCAGATTGAAAGACAAATATCTCCTGTTTCGTTCAGACTGACACTCCCTAATCATTTTCGTATTTCCCCCACTTTCCATGTCTCTCTGCTCAAGCCTGCTGCTGGTCCAGCCGAGGCGGATAGGGAGGTGGCAGTCGGTGAACAGGGTCCCCCGCCTCTCATGATCGATGGTGAGGAGGCATACCAGATCCACGAAATCCTGAGATCCAGACGCCGGGGTGGACAACTCCAATATCTCGTTGATTGGGAGGGGTACGGCCCGGAGGAGAGATCTTGGATTAATCGCAAGGACATCCTCGACACCACACTACTGGAAGAGTTCCACTCACAACATCCGGAGATGCCGGCCCCTCGCCCCCGTGGAAGACCCCGGCGTCGAGAATTGCCTCACTTCAGGAGCCGCTCGTTGGGGGGGGGCTCTGTCACCGACTCGGTCCCAGTCATTCCCCTCGCTGACCAGCAGAGGTCACCATCTCCGGACTTCTAACCATTACGTCATCCATTTCACCCTGATCCCAGCACACCTGTTCCCCATTCCACTAATGACCCACGTACCATATATAAGCAGCTCACACACACACTTCAGTGCGAAGTCTTGTTTAGCCCCGGCCAGCATTTCTGAGCGTTCTATCCTGCCTGATCTCCCGTTTACCACTTCAGCCCGTTTCTCGACTCTGCTCTGTCTTCTGCCTGCCCTCGACCAAAGCCTGTTACACGGACTCTGATTCTCGCTGCCTGCCCCTGACCAAAGCCTGTTACACGGACTCTGAATCACGCTGCCTGCCTATGACACAAGCCTGGTAATCACTCTGCCTCTGATATCTGCTATCATCGTTGATGTGTATGTTGTATGTTCGCACAGCCGTGCGAGTTGTTGATGTTTAAGTGTGACTTAATAAATACTGCAAAATGGATCCCTCCGTGTCAGTCTCCCCGTTACACTAATAGTGTTTTTAGCAACATGGGACAAATATTTGACTGTCAACATCTTAAAAAAAACTACAACTTTAAAATCCCTTATCCAAAAAACTTTAACAAGCACATAAAATAGAAAAACAGCTGTCACAGATAGAACTTGTAAAAAAAATAATTGAATTGAATTTATTTTCGCAAAATTATTATTATTTTTTAATAAAAGAGAGATATCAGAAGACAAAAACAGAAATTGGATCAACATGAGGTACAGTTTGCTCATCTTTTAAGCATTATTTTCCATGTCTCCTTTCACTTTTTTAAACAACACTCACCCCTCAGTGATGAACTGACCAGCTGTGAGGGATTCTGGGTCCAGACTGATCAGCATTGAATCATCTACACGCTGAAGACAGTAGTGATCACCAATAAGAAACTTTAAACTACATTAAGTTCACATTTTTAAAAATAATAATAAAAGAGCAACTCCTGTGTTAGAACTCACCCTCTTGACTGGGTTCTTGTTGTGTGTGAGAACGGTAAGCTCCAATGTAGAAACGTCTTTGCTCTCCCATCGCTCTGGCTCAGGCTCTTTTGGTGGCTCTGTCAACAAACAGAAACCATTATGCTTTAAAAGTTTCATGTTGTGTAATGTAGCTGTTTGAAAACCAACCTTTAAACTGTCTGAAACTAGCTTCATTTTAGCCTTAGCTTTACTTCCTGTCAAAAATAATCATTTGAACAATGGTCATCTACTGTATGGTCTACTTTGATCGTCAAACATTTTAGTTGAGTTGTTGTTTATGTTAATGCTGTTTGCACTTCCAAAGTATAAGATATCTGGCTTCAATTGAATTTAAGCTTATTTGTATAGCATTGTTCACAATAATTATTGTTCCAAAGCAGCTTTATAAAAGGTGCATGTTATTACATCGCAGTCAAATTTAGATGTTTTAGGAAATCAGACAATATCATTATTATTCACATTAATGTATGCAACTACTGAGGAAACCTCTGGAGCTGAAATTAAAATGTTAATTGGCATTTAATCTGCTTTGTAATCACAACACCAGAATGATCCATCTGAACAATCAAAGCAGAGTAAGCTCCCAAAAAGGAGGTTTAGAGAGACCGGAACCTTCAGTTAACTGTGTTAACCCTTGTGTGCTGTTGAGGATGTTCTTATCCACTCTGGGGTGATTTTAGGTCTTAATTTGGTTACAACTTTCTCTGTTTTTCAGCAAATCAAAATTTTAGTGACAAATCTTACTTAATACACTCTGGGCAAATTTACTACCCTTTTGTTATGTTAGTGCCTGATTTTGCCCTATTGAGTTCCATTATATGTCTGTTATGTTGAACTTATCTTGAGATGTCTGAGAAAATCAAAATAAGCACCTCAGCTCTCAGAACATAGTAAACATGGTAGGTGTATTTATGCAGGCACATTGTAATTTGTTGTTTTATTCCACAGAACTCCATATAAAAGCCAGAAAGTTTTTTTCCACAGGCCTATCTAAAGGGTCAATCGTGCCAACTGATGATCAACAATACAAATGACAAATTTTACCTCTTTCCAACAGTGAAAACCACCAACAATCAAAAATGCATGATTATTTGGTGCCAAGGCTATGCAATCAAGTCAATGGGGTGAAAAACAGCCAATCACATAACAAAAGGATAGTAAATTTGAATAATACACAAGGGTTAAGATACTATAAGAAAAGAGGTTATGCTGCAATTTATATGAAAAATATGTGTTTATATATTATGTTTTTACCTTGATAAATGCAAAACTATTGGAGACCCCCAGAACAAAATTAGCACCTTTTTGGCTAAACAATACATCTGAACCTGCTTCGAAACAATATTAGCAAACAACATTTAAACAGTAGATTCTGTATTAAGAAATATCTGTCAGGTTACATAATACCTTCTAAAGGAGGGTTCCAGTAGTTCTGGAGTCTGCGGTAGATGCGGTAGAGGAGGTTGGGTCGCTGTGGTATTTCATCTGGAAGGTCAGGTGGACGAGGTACGGGAGCCAGATAGGATAGGGAAGCCACATGAACCTGTGGCCACTGCTGTAGGAGTGAATAAAATAGAAAACTGTTATGATGGTCAATAAAAGATTTCTTTAAATTAGAGATTTGAAGAGACGCATTTACCTTCAGGCTACTAAACCAATGTGCTGCTCTCGTCTTCAAGGGGCCAAGGTACCAATATCTTGACAACAAGAGAGAAATGACATTAAATCAATTAGTATTATACATATGCATTTAAAATTCTTTCATATAAAAACATTAATAAGTGAGGCAAGTATATATATATATATATATATATATATATATATATATATATATATATATATATATATATATATATATATATATATATATATATAGAGAGAGAGAGAGAGCACATTTCATACACAATGGTAATTCAAAGTGCTTTACATTAACAGGAATAAAAGACAAGTATAAGAAAATAAAAACAAATAATAGTGATTTAAAAGCTAATAAAAACAGATTAAAATGTGTTAAAACAGGTTATAAAAGAATGAAAAAAAGAAAGACATAATAGTGCGATCTGTCAGACGTAGTACAGTACTCGTACAGTAAAGGCACAGCTGAACAGATGTGTTTTATGATAGCATACTTGCTAATAGAAGTTGCTACATCTCTGAATGCACCCCAACGTAATCCCAACAGCGCAAACACTGGCTGCTCCTTCTCACCCTGAGAACAGCATTACACAGATTTGTGTGAAACATTTAATATAATGAATGTCATCAAATCATCTCTTTTAAATCTCTTTTTTCTTGAATTTACCTTTATCTGCAGAACGTCCAGTGGAACCGTTTCTCCTTTTAAGATTGAAAGAGTTGCTGAGGTAATGTGCCTGAATACACAAAAACATCTAATTACATCTAATCACAACAAACATTACAATCAATTATCTTGAAGACTTAACTGACGAGACTTACTGTACTTTATTGTCAGAGACTAGATGCAGACTCTGACTCAGAGAGTTACTGGAACCCAGAGGGATAAAACCAATTGGTGTTTTACTGAAGATCTCCTGTGGGCAGAACAGTGCACATTCAGAAAACCTTTGTAAAATGTGTAAAATAACTAAAAGCTTTAAATCAGATACACTAGCAAATACCTCATCAGCTCTACGAAGCAGGCCGGTTATCACCTGTGTGAAAAGAATCCTATGAAATATATAACAAATTATATTTTTTAAAAATCCCACTTTGTAAAGATACTTTCATACCTCCTGTAACGTCCCATCACCGCCAGCGATGATCAGCATATCCGTTTGCTCCATCAGTTCCATGAGCTTTTTTGCCTGGCCTTCATAATCAGTCTGTTTCAGAAAATAAATCAATTACAAATGTAATCGTACCCAAATAAACAGACTTACCACCTCATTCTATAGTAAGTATACCTTCACAATTTTAACCTCCACACCAGCCAGATGTAAAATGGGAGCTGCATTCTTCTCAAACAACTGATTCGCCTTCCTGCAGAAGACACATAACTATAACAACACAAACAAACTGACACAGCTATACAATCCAAGGAAAACCTCATTTGTGACACGTTGAGGGACACAATCGTACCCTTTACAGGCAGCAGGATTCAGAATGACTGTGGCTTTCTTCAGAATCTCCTGAGGTCCAATTAACTGTTGACCAAATGCCTGTGAAACCAGACCAAATATATATTTATGTAGTGAAACTTGGGGAAATGTGGGTATGAAAGTTGTGACTACAACTAAAGCTACAAACATTTTGCTACAATGACAACAAATGAGCAATACAGAAAATAAATAAATTAATTAATCACATTTATTTGATATTAATTACATGCCAAGGCAACAGTTCATCTTCATTTGGTTTAACTTGATGTACAATTTTCTTAGAAAAAATGAAATATGTCTTACCCTAGCCTCTATACATGCTTCACGTCGCAGCACACTGTCACTGTGAAAAACAATTGAACAGTTAGACATATATCTGTCAAGAAGATAGATATATGATGGATAGATGGATGGATGGATGATGGATGATAGATAGATAGATAGATAGATAGATAGATAGATAGATAGATAGATAGATAGATAGATAGATAGATAGATAGATACATAGATAGATAGATAGATAGATAGATACATAGATAGATAGAAACTCAGACAAACAGATAATAAATTGGTGGCAGACAGAGAAAAATGCTAACCGAAAGACAGATAAAAAGATAAACAGACAGAAATATGTACTGTGATACACACCAGTGCTTTCCATAGAGCCAGTGTCCTCCATATGAGAGCACACACACCGCAAATGTGGACTTTTTCCAATGATTTCTTAAAGTTCGGAACACTTTCACCACCCGAGCCATTATTTTTATATATACGGGCTTTCTATACAGCCGATATTTGCATGTCTAAATGGGCAAGAAGACTGAATAGAGCTCTTTACCGTTGACATTCCATTGATCTCCCAAAGCATGACCGGTGCAACAACAATATTCGTCCTCATGGGAAATTTCCGTTCCGTATTCATTTAGCGGTAAATGTGAATATATAATAATTTTGAGTGTGTAATAAAAGTTAATTTGTAGTCATTTAAAATTTTCTGTAGTCGCTTCATGTTTTAATGTTTAATTGCTATCTCTATCATAGCCGGAATTATACTGCATGGCTCTTGTGTATAAAGTGGGACTGAATTTAGAGACGGACCGATTCCAAAGTATGGACTGTTATTATATATAAACAGACTAGACGGCGACACTCACTCACTCACTTCTGTCAGTTATCAAATATTATTATTTTTCAGATCATGATAGTTAAGTTGTAAAGAATCTGGCGAAAAATCTTGGTTACCCGTACCCTGTTTACCCAACTTAACAGCTATGGAGGTTGAAAATTTCGTTTCAAAAACTCTTGAGCTCCTACAAGAAGAGAGAGAAGCTGAACTGGAAGAAACACGGTAAATTACATGTCTATACACTTGTACACATGTTAATGTAGCCATTTATTTATGTTACTCGGATGTAATGTAAATATTACGTTTTAAATGATCCTTCTGCGCCAAATAAAAGTTACAGATAGGCTCATAGACTGTAGCATTAAAATGGCTTTTTTACATGTGCACTGCTACTGACATATTTCTTTAACTACCTGAGCAGTGCAGGGTCACTTTAAAATGGTTAAACTTCCCTTTTCAGACGTGCACATTTTTTTATACAGTATAAATACAAAGCAAACACTGTTATTCATACCAGTGCATGCATATAATTATAAATGGATCATAGGGCTGTGTAATTTGGCCTAAAATTAAAATCTCGATTTCAATAAATGAACAATTATTTTACTCATTTAATGTTTATTTTTCCCTCAGAGTTCACTGACAAGTTATGCACAGTAAATATGCTCACAAATTACAAGTAAGAGGTTTCTGAATGAGGGGTACATTACTTGATTTGAAAGTAATTTAAGGAAACACATTTACTATCTATGATTATTTATTGAACATCATCACTGAACAACTGAAATTAAAACACACATTGCCTAAACAATTGGCTATAAAAAAAATGAAAAGTTGCACTTGCACTTTTGGAAACAAAATCAATCATTTTCATGCTTTTTATATTAAAAGTAGAAAGTAAGCAGTGTCTCATCTAAATAAAATAACTCTTGTATATCCTGTAAGTAATATTTTTAAAAGTGCTTTTCTTCTGTATGAAAAAAAAACAAATATTCATTCATTCATTTTCTTTTCGGCTTAGTCCCTTTATTAATCCGGGGTCACCACAGCAGAATGAACCGCCAACTTATCCAGCACGTTTTTACGCAGCGGATGCACTTCCAGCCCAACCCATCTCTGGGAATCATCCACACACACACACACACACACACACACACACACACACATACACTACGGACAATTTAGCCTACCTAATTCACCTGTACTGCATATCTTTGGACCTTCTGCGTCACTCCGTCGCCAAAAAAAAATAAAAATGTAATTAATAATAATAATAATAAAAGAAGTTATATATATATATATATATATATATATAAATCATTTTAGTGTGATATAATATAATATGCCGTCTCAATGCATTTCGGGTACAGTTTCCAATCATCGTCAATGTAGTGCAAAGTAAGGCTCAAAAATAGGTCTATTGTCCTACGTGACCAGGTATCATATATGGCAACATAGTGGCAGCAGAAGTATAAAACAGAATGGGGTCACGTGACTCCACACACGGTAGGGAAAGTAATCGAAAAAAATCAACCTGGAAAAATTTGATCGATTATAGATTCTGAATGTCGATTTCAATTACTGTTTGATTAATCACCCATTTTTTGCATATAATAATAGTAATGCATCATTTTTAATTCATTTGGCCTAAAGTCCCCATAATCTGAAAACAGAAAAAAGCTGTTTTGCTCCACAGGCTAAACTTGTTCCAAAGTGTGCCACACTACTACAAATTAAACCAAAAAAAAAAAAAAATTTTAAACATTTTGTATCCTTGGTAACAAAATAGAAGCTGGTTAACAAAGCATGTATGACTTTTGTCTGAAATATCACTGAGATGAAATTCTTCAGTTTTAATAGGTTTCAATGAGGATAGCATGTAGAAGGATTAAATATTATTAAGTATTTTTGTATTGTCAGCGCATGGCAGGAGAATGTGTCTCTCAAGAATCTACAGCACAAAGGAGTGTGTCTGATGAAACTTCAGATCGGAAGCCAGCACACTGGAATGTATGGCAGACTTCTAGTCATTTTTGAACCCAGGAAATGCATAGGGCTCTCAGTTCTACCCAGCAACACTTTTGGACCTGGTGAGACATTGATTTCCTTTGGAGTTTATGATCAATTTATAATTTAGACTTTTTACCCTAGTTCTATCACTACCTAATTGTCTTTTGTATTGTGCTTAAAGGTGATATTATAGGCTTGTATCAGGCAGAGGGTCAGGCTCTGCCTACTCAGTTGGGGTCAGGTGTGGTGACTCGTGCTACTCAAGCATCTCTGACAGTGGCTTTTGATGACACACAGGATGGTACTAATTTAGACAGAGATGGACTCTACAACCTAATGAAACTGGCAAATGATGTGACCTACAGGCGGCTGTCAAGGTATGTACATTTATCACTTCATGGCTCAAAGACTCAACGTTCCATTTTGGTTTATGCAAAATAGTTTTTATTTAGATAGAAATCATTTTAAATGCAAGTAAAGTGTTTGCTTTAATAAAAAAAATTGGTGGTAAAATATGGGAGAAATAATGCTTCAGTGTCATAACAAATTTTGATGTAAAAACTCAACAAAGCAGCTGATGTGTTTTGTACTTATTAAAACGTGCACAAATTAGGTGATCATACCCAAGTAAATTACTTATTTATACAAATATCCTAGTTTTTATTATATTAAAATTATATTGGCAAAATCTAATAATTTAAAATGACAGAAAATACTATATTTAAGTTGCACCCTGATCAGTTTGGCATATTAATTATTGTTAAATTAAATGTTATTTTAGTGGTTGTCTTCTGTGAAAAATGAATGATAGTCAGTGTTTTTTGTCAAAAAGTGTTTTTTGTTTCTTTTGTCAACTCTTTTTAATTTTACGCGACATTCTTATGTGCAATATTACATTTTCATAGTTTTGATTCTTCTCTTTAATGAATTATGTTTAATTTATGTTTTGGTCTCTTATTAAATGTCAGTGTTTTTTCCTCGCTTAATATGATATCAATGTTCAGATGAAGACTGAGAGAGAACTTTGGTCATTATGTAATATCTTAAAAAATAAATCCAATAGTGGTCTAAGACTTTGCAATCTCTTTTCTACTTGCAGTGCACTAAAGTCTTTAAATGGATACAGCAACGGTCCTGCATCTCACCTGATCAGTGTTCTTTTTGGTTACTCTCAACCAGGGATCTTATCACATCAGTGTAAGCGTAAACTGCACATCAAGTACTGTTTGAAACAGATGTAAAATATTGCAGCTAAATAACACCTAGTACATTGAAGTTGTAAATATTTTCCTGCAGATGCATTTGAATTTAACAACACCAAGTTAGATGATTCTCAGAAAGAGGCTGTGTCGTTTGCAATATCTCAAAAAGATGTTGCAATCATACATGGACCACCAGGCACTGGCAAAACTACTACAGTGGTTGAAGTGATCCTGCAGGCAGTGAAACAACAACAAAAGGTGAGCTTGATAACATACTCTAAATTTGATTAGACAAGATTGATATTAATTGAGGTTGTATTTCCATCTAATAAAAAATTATGTTTTCCAATGAAGTAATATTATTAAAACATTTTGCCCATTAAGTTGTGAAACAGGACTTTAGAATCAATGGTGGATTTTCAAAAACAAGTTATAATATTTAAAAAAGGGACAGAAAACACTTCAGAAACACTTTTGCATAAATACCAGTTGTGACCGTGGTCCACAAAACCAGTCATAATTTGTTCATAATTGATTTTTTAATAAATACTTTTTCTAATGATGTATGTCTTGTTAAGATAAAACAATATTTGGTTGAGATAAAACTATTTGAACATCTAGTATTTGAAAACAGTCTAAATATTGAGAAAGAAGTTGAGTTAAGAATTAAGTTCTTAACAATGCTTTTTTTTATTAAAAAAGTACATATTTATATATTTATGTTACTAAATTCAAAAATGTCTTTATGGAGCTTGAGTTTTAGTTATTGTTCTAATAAATTTGGCTTAAACTAAAAAATTACCATTTTGACTCATGTAATGTCTACATTTTTATTACTTTCATTTTTATTTAAAATTCTTACAGACAAGATAATTACAAACATTTTGTTAATGTTAATGGAAGAATATTAGTATATAACATTAAAAGAAGTTTTCCAGAAAGTTCTTGGCACAAATTTCTTTCACTTTTAGCATTTTAAAGTATTTTTAGGGTTTTGGTGTACTTTTTTTTTGTATATCAACAGGTCTTGTGCTGCGCTCCTTCAAATGTGGCTGTTGATAACTTGGTGGAGCGTCTGGCGAAGAATAAGGTCAAGGTTTTAAGACTGGGTCACCCAGCACGCCTGCTCGAGTCCATTCAGAAACACTCGCTGGATGCGGTCCTTGCACACAGTGACAACACCAACATCATTTCTGATATTCGCAAAGACATGGACAAAGCGTTTGTAAGTTTTTGGTTTCTCAAAATTGTTTTGATTTTATATTTTTAATGGTGAGTGACACGGTGGCTCAGTGGTTAGCACTGTCGCTTCACAGCAAGTCGGTTGGGGGTTCGAGTCCCGGCTGGGACAGTTGGCATTTCTGTGTGGAGTTTGTATGTTCTCATCGTGTTGGCGTGGGTTTCCTCTAAGTGCTCTGGTTTCTCCCACAGACCAAAGATCTGTGCTATAGGTGAATTGAACAAACTAAATTGGCCGTAGTGTAAGTGTGTGAATGATTGTGTATGAATGTTTTCCAGTACTGGGTTACAGCTGGAAGGG